GGTCATAACAAACACTGTTTTTCAACAACCAAAAAGGCATCTCTATACAAGGACCAAATGGTCAACGTAGAAATCAGATTGATCATATACTTTGCAGTCAAAGGTGGAGAAGCTTTATAACAGAGGTTCCCAAACTTATTTGGCCTACTGCCACCCCTTATTTATTGGGGTTAAGTGACTTGCCCAGGGTCACACAGCTACTAAATGTCAAGTGTTTAGTCTGAGGCCGGATTTGAACTCAGGTCCTCACGACTTCAGGGCCGGTGCTCTATCCACTGCGCCACCTAGCTGCCCCTTGACACCCCCTTTAAAAAAAATTGCTCAGGGCCTCCCTGGAAATCTACTTTCTTTTAATGTTTTTTTTTTTTGGAAATTTACATAATTTCAAAAGAATATAAAATAAATTATTTAAAATGACATATATTAAATTTAATAATTTATTGTAAATTAGTGGTTTTTTCCCTGCATTGAAGTTTTGATGATGCAATATTGCATCATGTAACCATACAGTATCGTATTGTAAACAAGTCATTACACACACATATTCCTGCCTATGTATGCTGGACTTCCGCACAGTGAGTGACAGCTTGCCTGCCAATACTTGCTTATTAAGACCTGTTGGAGACTTGACCACTGATGGATAGGTTATAACTTGCATTTTGTGTGTTTATTTGGAAAATAACATAATCACTATGACTTTTACTCTGTTACACAACAGATGTATGAAACAGATGTATGAAAACATGTATGACCGGTTTTTCAAAATTTTCTCCTTTTCTTTCCTTATGCTTCCACCATCCCCTTATTTTTATTCAATGCCTCCCCCACAATTGCACCTGAGGCTACTACTGTCCCCCCATCATTCCAGTGCCCCCCAGGTGGCAGTATGACCCACTTTGGGAACCTTTGCATACAGTCAGTTAAAACAAGAACTATAACTGACTGTGGATCATGATGATCACGAGCTTCTTATTGCAAAATTTAGACTTATATTGAAGAAAGTAGGGAAAACCATCAGACTATGTAGGTATGATCTAAATAACATTTCTTATGAATATGAAGTGAAGGCAATAAATAGATTTAAGGGATTAGATCTTACAGATGCAGTGCCTGAAGCATTATGAACAGAGGTTTGAAACACTGCACAGGAGGCAGCAATAAAAAACATTCCAAAGAAAAAGAAGAGCAAGAAAGCAAAATGTGTCTGATGAGGCTTGAGGAAAGAAGTAAAGTAAAAGGGAAAGACATATCCAACTGAATGAAGAATTCCAAAGAATAGCAAGGAGAGATAAGGTTTTGTTTTGTTTTGGTTTTCAAATGAGCAATGCAAAGAAATAGAAGAACACAATAGAATGGGAAAGACAACTGTCTTCAAGAAAATTAGAGATGTCAAGGGAACATTTCATGCAAAAATGGGCATGATAAAAGACAAAAATGGTAGGGATTTAACAGAAGCAGAAAAGATTAAGAAAGAGTGGAAAGAATACACAAAAGAACTGTGAAAGAAATCCCTTAAAATAACCAATAACCAAGATGGTATGGTTATTGATCTAGAGCCAGACATTTTGGAGAATGAAGTCAAGTGGGCATTAGGAAGCATTGCTAACAATAAGGTAAGTGGAGGTGATGGAATTCCAGCTGAGCTATTTAAAACCCTAAAACATAATGCTATTAAGGTGCTGCATTCAATATGCCAGCATATTTGGAAAACACAACGGTGGCCACTAGACTGGAAAAGATCAGTTTCTGTCTTAATTCTAAAGAAGGGCAACGCCAAGGATTGTTCAAATCACCAAACAATTGCACTCATTTCACATGCCAGCAAGGTTAGGCTTAAGATTCTGCAAGCTAGGCTTCAGTAATATGTGAACCAAGAATTACCAGAAGAGCAGGCTGGTTTTCAAAGAGGCATAGGACTAGAGGCCAAATTCCCAACATTCCGTGGATTATGGAAAAAGCAAGGGAGTTCCAGAAAAACATCTACTTTTGTTTCATTCATTATACTAAAGCTGTTGACTATATGGATCACAACAAAATGTAACAAGTCCTCAAAGAGATGGGGGTACCATATGTTACTTGTCTCCTGAGGAACCTGTATGCAGATCAAGAAGCAACAGTTAGAACAGAATATGGAACAGTTGATTGGTTTAAGAATGGAGAAGGAGTAGGACAAGGCTATATATTGTCACCTTATTTATTTAACTTATATGTAGAATACATTATGTGAAATGCCAGACTGGTTAAATCAAAAGGAATTAAGGTTGCTGGGAGAAATATCAACAATCTGAAATATGCAGATGATACCACTCTGGTGGCAGAAAGCAAAGAAGAATTGAGAAACCTTGATGAGGGAGAAAAAGGAGAGTATAAAAGTTGGCTTGAAACTTGACATAAAAAAAAAAAAACTAAGATGGTGCAACTGGTCTCATCTCAACTGGTCCTGGTAAGTAGAGGGAGAAGAAATGGAAGCAGAGTCAGATTTTATAGTCTTGGGCTCAAAGATCACTACAGATGGTGACTGAAGCCATGAAATTAAAAGGCTTGCTTTTAGAAAGAGAGCTAAGGCAAATTGGTACAACATACTAAAAAGTAGAGACATCACCTTCCCAATAAAGTTCTGTATAGTCAAAACTATGATTTTTCCAGTAGCAGTGTGCAGTTGTGAGAGTTGGACCATATGGAAAGCTGAGAGGCACAGAACTGATGCTTTTGAATTGTGGGCTGAAAAAGACTTTTGAGAGTCCCTTCAAATCAGTCAATACTTAAAGAGATTAATTCAGGCTATTCACTGGAAGGTCAAATACTGAAACTGAAATACTTTGACACATAATGAGAAGATGGGACTCCTTGGAAAAGACCTTGATGTTGGGAAAGATTGAAGGCAAAAGGAAAAGGGGATGGCACAGGATGAGATGGATAGGGAGTATCATGGAAACAAGGAACATGAACTTGATCAGACTTCAGGAGATGGTGGAGGACAGAAAGGCCTGGCTTATGACGGCCCTTGGGGTCACAGACTTGAACATGACTGAAGAGCAGCGGCAAGGTGAGCCTTCCTGACTTCAGGCCCAGTACTCTACTGTGAACCTAGCTGTCCCTTCTATTCTCCTTTACAAAGATAATATCTTGTTTAATTTCTGTTATTCTTCAGATCTTGATTTCATTGAAACAGGAAACTCCCTCTACCAATATAATTACGTATCTTCTGGATACCTAGAGGAGTTACCTGGGGCCAGTGAGGTTAAATGATTCCAAAGTCACAAAACAGTATGTATCAAGGAAAGCAAGTATTCATTTCAAGTACTTACTATGTATCAGGCATTATGCTAAGCAAAAGTAAAAAATAGTCCTTGCCCTCAAAGACCTTCTGTTCTAGTGGGGCAGACTCCAGCATATCTAAGTACATGCATAATATACGAAAAATTAATACAAGGCAATTTTGGAAGGACAATGTATCACAAAAACAAACTGAACCATATTTTAATGAATCAGAGAGCATGTCTCTAGCTGTTCACCATGGTCTCAATTTGCTTTACACAAGCTATTAAATGTTTGTGTATGTGTGTGTATATTTAACATTCCTAAAAAAAATTTTTTTAAGTTCCAAATTCTCTCCTGCCCACCCCTCCCCCACCCATTGAAAAGGCAAGCAATTTTACAGATTCTTTTTTCCCTCCACAAATTTTTTAAAATTTATTTTTAGTTTTCAACATTCACTCCATAAGATTTTGAGTTTTAAATTTTCTCTCCTTCCATCTTCTCCCCCTTCCCCAAGACGGCATGCAGTTCGATATAGGCTTTACACATACATTCATATTAAACATATTTTCACATTAGTCATGTTGTAAAGAAGAATTAGAACCAATGGAAGGAACCTGAGAATGAAGAAACAAAACAAAACAAAGAGAGAGCAAAAAAAAAAAAAGAGAGCAAAATAGTATGCTTTGATCTGCAGTCAGACTCCATAGTTCTTTCTCTGCATGAGGATGACATTTTCCGTCATGAATCTTTCAGAGTTGTCTTCCATCCTTGCATTGCTGGGAAGAACTAAGTCTATCGAAGTTGGTCATCACACAATGTTGCTCTTACTGTGTACAACCTTCTCCTGGTTCTGTTCATTTCACATAGCATCAGTTTATGTAAGTCTTTCCAGGTTTTTCTGAAGTCTGCCAGCTCATCATTTTTTATAGCACAATAGTATTCTATTATATTCATATACCACAACATGTTCAGCCATTCCCTAATTGATGGACATCTCCTCAATTTCCAATTCTTGGCCACCACAGTAAGAGCTGCTATAACTATTTTGTACATGTTGGTCCTTTTTCCATTTTTATGATCTCTTTGGGATACATAAATTCTTACGAAGTGCTTGCTGAATTGAATTGAACAAGCTCGTTCGTGTCAATGGGGTTATATCACTAACTGGGGGAGCACCCAATCTCTCGTCTCTGAGAAGCTCCTGCGCACACTCTTATTAAGGTCACTAGGGTTCCAGGTGCTCTGGATTAGAACCCTCTATAGCAGGCCAAGAAAGAGTGAACACAAGATTTCTGCTATGGCTGTTTTTCCATGTTTGGGGGATGGGTGGGAAGGAAACTCAGGCTGCTAATGAAAGTGACAGCCCAGGTGAATTTAGGCAGCAGCAAGCAGGCTCCGCCAGTCCCGAATACCAGCTCACTGAATGGGTTAGGCAGTAAGAATTTATTAAGGGCTATGAGCCAGGCACCGAGTTAATCTCTGGGGATACAGACACAAGCAAAAAGGAAGGGTCCCTTGCCCTCTAGGAGCTTACAGTCTAACGCAGGGAAGACAACACAAGAGAGCTGAAAAAGTGGGGAGTGGGAGAAGGGAATGCTCGGGATTGGCCGAGGCTCGGGAGGTCCCGCCCCAGTCTGGGGCTGGGCGGGGCTGTCTTGGGAGGCGCGTGGGGCGGGGCGGGCTGAGGCTGGGTCCAGGGGATGCAGCGGCAGGCTTGTTTGGACGTCGGGGTTCGGGGGCGGCAGCTGGCGGATGGCGAACGTGCGGGTGGCCGTTCGCGTGCGGCCACTTAGCAAGAGGTGAGGCTGGGGCCAGAACGTGCAGCGGGGACAGCTTCGGGACAACGGGCCCGGGAGGTCCGAACTTCCCAGTGGCGCGAGGCTGCCTGCGCTCCACCCGGGGGTGGGAGGCACGGGCACGGGCGTGGAGGCCCGCCCTGTCCTGGGATAAGGAGGAGTGGTCTAAGTTCTAGCCTAGCCGAGCGGGGTCCGAGGAGGGTCAGAGGGAAACCTGGGGCAGTAGGGCTCTACCCTGCCAGGCCGGGAGTGGGGCGCAGATACAGTGGGGCTTCTGCGTGACTCGAGCGGCCAGCGCCTGCCCCGGGTCCCTGCTCCGCTCCAGCTCCCAACCCCCTGCCCTAGCGGAACCCTTTCTTTGTATCTCCTGCGCTTAGCACAATGCCTGGCCCCTAGTAGGCGCTTAATAAATGCCTGTTAACCGATCCGCTATTAAGCAGAAGTCCCCAGAGTAGGGTGTGCCCTTTTCCTATCCTTCGATCTGACGACCTCCTTAAGCTTCTTAGAAGGTTGGGTCGAAGTTAACAGGTTATTGGGGATGTGGAAAGGGAATTTCGGGGGAGCTGGATCCCAGGGGATTTTAATGTCCCTTTTTTGTTTGAGCATGAGAAGGAAGGACAACTTATCCACAGCTTGGGAGAATTGGCATCCGTAGGAATGAGAGCTGTCTTTTGCATGGATAGCACTTTCATGTTTGTAAAACGCTTTTTAAGTATCTCGTTTTTAATAATTTTTATTTTTAGTAATTTTCTTAACATTTTTCTTTATTGGTAGTCTAGGTATGCATGAAAATTCTGAGAGAAGAGTGTTTGTTTTCTCTTCTGCACATGTGTAACTGTATTCAAACACTGAGCAGAGGCAGGTACTTTGAGGGATTGTGGAGGGAACTCAGAATCAGGGAGAGGAAGTGGTTTCATTCTGTTGGGAGCAAAATTATGAAATCTGGGAAGTAAGCCGGCCATAGGCAGTTAGCTCATCCTTCCCTAACAAGTGGTATTGTCTCCTTCCTATTTTCTCAGTTCCTTCTTTTTCAGTTTCTTTTCTCCTTTCCCTTTTGAAAACCTATTTTAAAGGAAAAGATCTGAAGCTCATTCTAACTAAAGTGTAAGGAATGCTAGTTTAAGGTGCTATGCTTCCTGGGATTATGCTAGTTTGAATTAGGATTTAAAACAGAAGAATAACGTTCTCAAAGGGGAGTTTCTGGACAAGGAGAGATAGAGGGAAGGGGGGAGTCAGAAAGAGGAAAAGAGGGAGGGAGAGAGAGAAGGAGAGAGAGAGAGAGAAGGAGAGAAAGAGAAGGAAGACAGCATAGTTTTTGTCTGTCCTCTATGAGGTTTAGTCTAGCTAAATTTGGAGATCATCTGAAACAGCTGGCCACCGGGTCACAAATTTTTTTGGCCATAGTAACCCATGAACACTTGCCTCCTGAGATCTGACAGCACCCTGGGCTTTATCTGTGGAGGAAATTCTTGCATGGATGAAATCTAAGAGCCTTGAAGTTAATATTAAATTTACTTCACCTGAAGAGGGGAGTGCGTGGTGGGGGGGAATCAGGGATCTTTCCAATTCCTGGGACTCTTCTTTGTTAACCTTGTTTTGAAGGAAAGACCTACAATAAAGGTGATCAGTTTTCCAGCATCATTCAGAAAGTGTCTAGAAAATTTTAATAGGAGCCTCTTAATAATTCTCTGGTGTTGATAGAGGCTAGGAGCAAGGATCCACGGACTGTCTCACCTCATGGTATCTATAGTTAGCCTTAGCCCAGGGTGCAAGGATGTACAGACTCTGAAAACTATTATGTTCCACACAGGGGAAAGCCTCAGTGAAGGTCAGCTTCTCAGGGGCTACCAAACTCAACCCCATTGGAGCTCTAGGGACAGAAGGAGAAAGGTCTCCAGAAGGTTCTTGAAGCAACTGATAAATCTAGGCCTGGGATCACTGGGTCAAATGGCATTTCCTGGCCATTGGGAAAATATCAGGAAGCTAACTGTGCCTTGGGGCTCTTTTGAGCGTACAACTCAGGGAGAGAAACCTGGTTGATGAAGAGCAGCAGACAGTTGTCCTTGGGGGGGCCGGAATGTCCCCGTGGCTCACCGCACTGTAGGTGGGTCATCTCTCTTAGGGCTGTTATGTTAACAATAAGACAGTAGATAGGCCCGTGGTTCGTTTAGTCTCTTTTTCCCCTCCTGAGACTCCTATGTCTTTACTTTCTGTGCCCCTCTCCATTACTTTTGCTTTCCTTTTTAATTCCTTTGGTATAAAGTTGTTGTTACTCAACTTTGAGAAACTTGGTTAGGTTCTGCTTAGATAAACCTAATCTGTAGAACTGTAATCAGCAGAGAATTTCACTTATTCCTGTGGCCAGACAGGGGTCTCTCAAAAGGCTGAGGTTCTAGATCTTCTGGGATCTGAATTTAAACCTCTCTACATGATGTTATTTTATTTAAATTTGATGTCATTTAAGACATTGGGGGGGGGGGCAGCTAGGTGGCGAAATGAATAGAGCACTGGCCTTGGAATCAGGAGGACCTGAACTCAAATCTGGCCTCAAACACTTGACATTTAATAGTTGTGTGACCCTGAGCGAGTCACTTAATTCTGATTGCCTTGCCAAAAAAAAAAAAAATCACATTGAGGGGCAGGTTTCTATCCCTTTCCCTACCCCCTGCCCCCAGTATTGGGCAAAAAAAATTTTTTTTAGGATTTTGGAGGCATAAAATGATTTGAACTTTTTTAAAAAGTTTTTTCTCCAATGATATATAAAAAAATGATTTTTAACATTTGGGTTTTTTTAAAGTTTTGAGTTCTAAATTCTCTCCTTCCCTTGCTCTCCCCCCCACTCCATGAGATGATAAGGAATTTGATATAAGTTATGCATGTGCAATCCATATAAGTCATAAAATAATTTTTTTAAAAAAAAGTAGTATTTCAGACTTTTCCTTATGCATCTCCTTTGAAGGTTGAAAAGTGGATCAGTCTTCTGTGGTTTAGAAAGTACAGGGTTGTACAAGGAAAGATCATAATTACAAGACCATTTACTTTGTTCAATTTTTTCTCACTATTGTGGTGAACACAGTTCTGGCCTAGCTTTGATCTAAACCTATTTTCTGCCGGACTTTCCCCAGCGAACACTAATCTGCTCTGCATTTGTGCTTCTGGATCTGGCTTATCTAATCTGTCCCAATGATCTACTTTTTCATTTCTTATCCATTCCCAGAGAAATTTTATTATAGCTTTGTCATACAGTTTGACATTTGATCCTGCCAAGTTCCTTTCCTTCCTACTTTTTTTTGGTTCTTTCCCTTGATATTCTTGAACTATTGTTCCCCATATGAATTTTGCTATTATTTTGTCTAATTCCATAAAATATTTCCTAGGTCATTTGATAAAACAAACACTGAATGTGTGCAGTTAAGTGGTGCAGTGGATAGGACACCAGGCCTGGAGTCAGGAAGACTCCTCTTCATGAGTTCAAATCTGGCCTCAGACACTTACTAGCTTTATGACCATGGGCAAATCACTTAACCCTGTTTGGCTCAGTTTCCTCATCTATAAAATGAGCAGGAGAAAGAAATGGCAAACTACTTCACTATCTTTGCCAAGAAAACCCCAAATTGGGGTCACAGAGAGTCAGACACGACTGAACAACAAATCTGTAGAGTAATTTGGGCCACGTCCGGCAATGAATATCTTTATGAACTGTGTCTTTCTTTCTGTAAAACTGGCCTTAACTTTGGGAGGCAAGGCTGTTGCCTGGTATCTCTCAGGATGCATTCTTTTTTGGATCTGAAGAATCCTGGGGGACACTGCTTTGGGTCATTTCTGGATCCTAAAAATTGGAGCTGTTTCCAAGTTCTGTGTAAGTTATTTTAAGGGCAGGCCTGGAAATGTGGTTCAGTATGAGCTTTACTCTAAAGCTACCTTAGGTCCATCTCACATGGCATTGGAGGTCCTCAGAGTGACCTGGGTCTAGCGCGTACCTACTGGCTCTGCTCAGTTTTAGACCTGTATGCTACTGGTGCTGGGCCAGAATATTGAAGTAGCCAGAGAAAACAACTTTGTAAGGGTTGGAGGTCTAAATCTCCTTAAAATGGGAAGAATAGTGCTTCTGCCATCTTTGCCTCATAGAATTGTTATGAGAAAAGTGTCTTGTAAACATTAAAATGTTAGTTCAGTGTGAGTGAAGGTTTACACTCCAGTCCTGATTAGCGGGAAGAATGAATCCCATGAAGTGGTGGCATTATTTGATTTTTCATTGCATATTTCCATTGGGATGGAACCAGTGACCATATTTTACCACATTATAACTTTGAATAGTGCACATTAATAAGGCCGCTGCTCCGCAGCCTTCATTACTGGCACTATCTGGGACCTGGCTGCATTTTTTTTATTATCATCATCCATCATCTGGTTACATTACCTCCTTATGAGGGTTTCATTCTTTGGAAAGGGTGACTTTTCCAAATGCTGTTCTCTTTCATTAGCAATCAGTAGTGGAAAACACAGTAGGTACTTGCTTCCGCTCAGAGCACACAGAATGAGTAGAAGAGTCAGCAGTCACATAACTGTCTCTTTAAGGTCTGTAAGGTACTTTACACACATGATGTCATTTGAACCTCGTATCAGTCTTATAAGGTAGGTACAGAAGGGTATTGTGTCCATTTTACAGATGAGGAAACTGAGGCCCATAGGTGAAGGGACTTGCCTATGGTCACATGACTAATAAATGTTAGAGGTGAGATTTCAACCTATGTTTTCCTGTCAACCTAGCACTCTAACCACATTACCTCTTATTCTCATCTTGAATTCAAATCTGGCCTCAGGGAGTTACTCACTGTGTGACCCTGGGCAAGTCATTTAACCTTGATTTGTCTGATTTTTCTCACCTGTAAAATGGGAACAATAACTTACCTTGCTTGGTTGTTCTGAAGATCAAATGACATAACTGTTGTAAAAAGCATTTAACATAATGCATGCCACATAGTAGGTCCTTTTGTTGTTTA